CGTTCGGACAATGTAAAAGTGTTTGTTCAGTCTGTGTTCGCCTCGTGCCTTTGTTTCAATAATATTCACATACACTCAGGTATAAAAGATAGGAATAACTAAAACTTATTTTGTGAATATAAATTTTAAAGTGCATAAAGTGCTTTTTATTCAACTTCTGTTGCGCATTTCCGTGCTTATTTCATTGTAAGAAATTTACTGTAACGTTATACATTGGTTATGGTAAAAGAAATGGTAAGTAGATATGAAAATATTAAAATTGCTTCGCGAGTCGAACTAAGGGGGAAAGCTTTTAATCAAACCACTTTACTGGAGTGCAGATAAAAACGTAAGTAACGTTTGTGCTAAGTAAGCAATTATGGGTGTGTGGTTTGTGGTAATTGGGATAGGTTTAATAGCGGGTAACATAATTAGTATTGAAAATATAACATCATCACACTAACATTAAATATGTTGGAACTCCCTAAAGGACAGCATAATGGAGTAACGGTATTTGAAGTTAGTGTAATCAACTGACTTTTTTTAGACATCTAACACACGGTCTTTTGATCTCAAACAAACATCGCCAGTACTATGGTAATAACGCATACTTATATATTTATAAATATATTCATATTACAGAGTAGCTATTGCCCGCGGCTTCGCTCGCGTGATTATTCATTTTTTGTGTATCAAATTTTGGAAATGACGAACTTGCGTTCATCCTTTATTTAATCCCCTTAGGCTTGCTTGTATTTACAACATGAAAAACATCAGCTGCTAAAATTTCAAGTGTGGTCCCAGTGGTTTAGACTTTGCATTGATTGATCAGTTAGTTCGTTCAATCAAGGCAAGTAAATTTAATTACATATTACAGAACTACAGATAAATTACACCTCGACAGAACAAATGATCAATCTCATCACATAATTATTAAACCTGGGTGGGAATCGAACCGAGATCACTAACCATCGAGACCAACAGGTCACTCCATTTTGACGGCCATATAAGCTAGATAAGAAAATATTTGTTTAGCATTAATTTGAGGATATGAAAAAGAAATGAAAATGGCAAAAAATAATGACTAATTGTAGCATTATGCCAGTTATAACGATAGACATTTACGTATTAATGAAAACCGATTTAAATAGGTTTTTACTGTCAACAAACGTAATTGTAATAGTTTTAATTTAGTTAGTACTTTACAGAATCCAAAAGTAGATTTAAATGACATACTTGTAAAGCACGTTTTATCTATCGATGTTTTTGCGAATGAACATTATCACATTAACAGCCTTTAATAGTCCACTGCTGGACATAGGCCTTCCCTTAGAAAGGAGGTTTTGGCCTACTATACCACGCTGGCCAGACGGGTTGGTATAGGGTTTATGGCCTCCCTGGCCGGAGACGACGGGGAGCACGGGGAGGATAATGTTCCGCCCGTCCGGGATTCGGAGGTAGGGGCGGCTGTTCTACGGATCCGTTCCAAGAACACCGCCCCTGGGCCAGACGGGGTACCGGCCCGAGTGCTGGCCCTGGCCCTCAACCACATGGCAGTCCGCCTCGGGGAGGTGTTCGACGCTAGCTTGGCGTCGGGACGCTTCCCTGAGTGCTGGAAGAGCGGGAAGCTGGTCCTATTGAGGAAGCCGGGACGGCCTGCCGATTCGGTCGCGGCCTATAGGCCCATCGTGCTGCTGGACGAGGCGGGCAAATTGTTTGAGAGGGTTCTTTCTGCCCGCATCGTCCGGCACCTCTGCGAGGTGGGCCCCGATCTGTCGGACGCCCAATTTGGTTTTCGGGCGGGGCGTTCGACAGTCGACGCCGTGTTGCGCCTGAGGGCCGTGACCGAAGAGGCCGTGAGCTGTGGCGGCGTGCTGTTGGCGGTGTCATTGGACATCGCCAACGCATTCAATAGTCTGCCATTCAGCTGCATCAGGGAAGCACTCCACTATCATGGGGTGCCAAAGTACCTGAGGCGGCTAGTGGCAGACTATTTAGAGGAGCGTACCGTCGTGTACGAGGACCGAGAAGGTAATCTGAGGTGTCGGCCCATGTCGTGCGGTGTTCCACAGGGGTCTGTTCTTGGACCCCTCTTGTGGAACATAGGGTACGACTGGGCCCTTCGCGCCGATTTCCCCCCCGGGCTGGGTGTAATCTGTTACGCAGACGATACCCTCGTGACAGCCCGGGGGGCAAACTTCCAAGAGGCGGCGCGCCTGGCCACAGGGGGAGTCTCCCTGGTGGTCGGGCGCATTGAGGCGCTGGGCTTACGGGTGGCCCTAGATAAGACGGAGGCCCTGTTATTCCATGGGCCCCGTCGTGGACCACCCCCTGGCGCCTCAATCGTGGTCAACTCGGTCCTCGTACCGGTTCGGGCCCAGATGAAATATCTGGGCCTGATCCTCGACGGGAGGTGGCTCTTCGACGAGCACTTCCGACAGCTTGCTCCAAAGCTGGTCGGCGCTGCGTCTGCCCTAGGGCGACTTTTGCCCAATATGGGTGGACCCAGCGTCGCGACAAGACGGCTGTACACGGGGGTTGTCCGGTCAATGGCGCTGTACGGTGCACCGGTGTGGGCGGCGGCTCTGACCGCCCAGAATAGGGTACGCCTCTGGCGCCCTCAGAGGGTAATGGCGGTCAGAGCCATACGCGGTTACCGCACCGTTTCGACGGAGGTGGCATGCGCATTGGCCGGAACTCCCCCGTGGTATTTGGAGGCGGAAGTGCTCGCCGAAGTTTATCGGCGAGTGGCTGACTTCCGGGCTGAGAGCGGATTTCGCCCTCCGCCTGAGGATGTGCGCGAGTGGCGCGAAGCCGCTCGCCGAGCCACGATGGCTCGTTGGTCGTTCCGGCTGGAGACTCCACGCGCTGGCTTCGCCGCCGTGGAGGCTCTCCAGCCGGTCATCGCCGAGTGGGCAGGGCGGCAGCACGGGACCCTTTCCTTCCGGCTGACGCAGGTGCTTTCCGGGCACGGTTGCTTCGGAAAGTACCTGCACACGGTCGCTAGGAGGGAACTGAGTCCCGCCTGCCACCACTGCGACTGCAGTGAGGACTCGGCCCAGCACACGCTGGCGGTCTGCCCAGCATGGGCGGCGCAGCGCCGGGCCCTCACTGCAGTCATCGGAGTGGATCTCTCGCTACCGGCCGTAGTACGCTCCATGGCCGGTAGTGACAGTTGTTTTACCGCGGTCGCAACCTTCTGCGAGGTAGTAATCTCGCGGAAGGAGGCGGCGGAGAGGGCCCGGGAGGACGACCTCCACTCGGACCCGATCCGCCGCCGGCGAACCGGGCGGCGGAGGCCCGCCTATCACAGCCTCATGCCGCCCTGAGTGTGGCCGCGGGTGGACGGGGTGGGTTTCCCCTCCACCCGCATTAGTTTGGCCAGCCGCGAGGGGGCGGCGTCCGCGTGTGCCGGACGTCGCCTAAAGAGAGGAACAACATTGAGACGGAGCCCGCACCAGGAGCGGGCTGGCGCTAGGAGGGGTCCGGATGTCTTAACAACAGCTGTTCCCGGATCCCTCCTGTTACAGGCGCAGAGTGGCACACCGTGTGGTTTTAGTCGGTCCGAGTCCGACACACCACCCCGCCGCAAACCCCGGAGGGGTGACGGTCCGAGGGGATTTCCACACGTTAAAAAAAAAAAAAAAAGGGTTTGTGTCAAGGGAATACCTATAAATAACTTACAAAGCTTTTAAATTGGTTCTAATAACGTTTTAACTACTTAAGTCAAAATAAACTATAGTTTAAAAAAACTAAAAGACACGCTTTTGTAACAGATCCAATGTAACAGATCCAATAGCATATAAGCGTTTTGGTTGTAAGACTGTGCGCTTATAATATTACTTAAATAAATAAAACAAAATTACTAAAAAAGTAATAAGTAAGTCACATATGCTTCAGCAAACACCTATTAGTACGTAGCAAAACGCACTACCGCATTTTTAGGTATGGAAAAAGCCGTTAATCCTGAAGATCCTGATCAGGATAATCGGCCAAATTCATTAAATTATTGTATTGTAATCGGTCATACATACATACATACCAAGCAAATAAAAAACGTGTTAAGCGTGTTAAAAAAGTAAATGGTAAAACGTCAGACTTTACTGCAAAGTTTCATATCTATCAAAGCTCTTATTGAAAGCTCTTCGTTTTCAAATATTGAACTTCTTCGAAACGAATGAGTAATTTTTGTGTTTCTTCCTTCGTCTAATTTTATTAAATATATTAAATTTTCTGCCTTCGAATAACAATTGTGGTACTATTATATTTTATTATAACACGGATATTACCACACCGGAGGTAGCTAGATCGCCTCCCAAGAACTGATATAATGTGAAATTAGGTGTAGAATTGTTATGAAATCTTCAAGCGACGTTAATTATTCTACGAAAAATAATATTGGTAACTTTTTTTATACGCAATTTGAGTGAGATTTGCCTCACGTTTGATCGTATCATGCAATCGTGTTGTGTTTTTTGTTACATGTTGCGTATTTTCCGTTACTACATTGACTTTCGAAACATTTATAAACCCGAATCAAGACGTGACTGAATAAACAAAATATTGGTACTTCGAGGTTCTATGTTGCAAGACAAGACTGCATAGATTCATCCCGTGAGTGTCATAAGAGCCGACTAAGGGAGCAAACTCTGCAGGATACTAGCACTGCAAAGATAAGGAAACTTGAAACAGACTGATACAGGTATCAGCCCGTCTAGCCAGCGTGCTATAGTAGGCCTAAACCTCCTTTTAAGGAGAGGCCTATGTGTAGCAGTAGACTATTAAAGGCTGTTGATGATAATGAAAATTATATTATGTATGTGTGACTGTTGAGTAATCTTTGAACTCTGCCAACCATCGAAGTCAAATAAAATTTAATGTTGATCTGAATTATATTTATAATTAAATAGTCTAATTTTTAACATTATTTACGTTGGTACCACTAAATAGTGACGAATACCCTTTCGATTCGTTAACCGAGGTGTTCTCATGTATTTACTTTTCTTGGAAGTAGAACTAACCTGGTGAGAAGTAAGGTGGCCAGTAGGTAGAAGACCGACGGATGTACACCGCATTCGCATTCTGTTTGCGGTGTGGCGGTCTGGGTCTCCATACCTGCCCCGAGTTTGTGATAGGCGATATACGCACGGGCTGGGCTACCGTGGGAAGCAATTTTCGTGGCCTTCTCTTGCTCCCGTCAACACTAAAACTGATCATCTGGTCGCCGAGGAGACAGTTCTCCTCACCTGGGAACAAAATTTTACCATATAGCTATTAATAATATGACGCAACGTCCAAAGCGAGTAAATATACGATTTTATAAGTCAGTAATTGTTTGCCGAAAGGAAAAGTCTTTATTTTAAGCATAACACATGGTAGCGTTGATCGGGGATTAAAAATATAGTAAGTACCAAGAACAAGAAGAACGCAACTTAAATAGGAGTATAAGCTTCACCGACGTGATGAATCACTATAATTCACCCGCTATTTATATATGGATAATTTCAACCGAATCCTGTATGGTACATTGTATGTGACAAAAGTAGTTTTTTTCTTTAACTGCTTATGTAATAACATTGGTTGACGTAGAGCAAACTAAATATTAGTAATCAATTGCAGCAGGTATAATATAATAGTGGCAATCACAATTAGCTAACACATTTGGTCTCCTTTTTTAAACGCTTTATATTAGCTTCACTTGTATGTTTGTTTGTAACCGACTCCTTTGGGCGTGATTTTGACTGACTTTAAACGGTCATAATTCGTTCAAACTTTGTAGATAGATCGAGGACCGATGACAATACACTAATTAAAAAAGAAAATAAAAAAATATATATTTAACGGAATAGGGAAAAGCGAGCAGACAGGTCACCTGATTGTGGCTACCATCCATCATAGACACCTGCAGCTCAAGACACATACAAGACCTTTGACTATTCCACCCCCCCCCCCCCTAAATTGTCAATTGATTTTGGGTGTACCTATAATATTCAAAGAGTTTTGTCGCCTCTCTAAAAAATGTACACACATACACACATACTACACTAGACACATATAGACGCAACACACGCAATACACGTAAATAGCTCAAAAAGCACTAGTAAGTTATGTAATGTCCGTATTAGGCTTTCGTGTCTTGTTTCAGCTGTATAAGCTGAGGGTATATTAACGATATAAATGTTCACTATTATTCTAATTTTGACACACATGATACCTATTATATATTTTGGCATACAATATAGTGGTTAAAATGGCTGTTTACGATGCACGATTATTTGATAGAGTAGTACTGTTTTGAGTGCTAAATGAATCATCAAAATTTTCGACAAAAATATAAAACTTTGTGTGAAAATAGGTTTTTTATAACTATTGTGGTTTAAAGAGGATATTAACAATGTGTATTTCAAACAGTATATTATTACACAATGTAATGTAATGCTTTAGAAGCAAAGGACTTTTAGTATATTTAATCAAAACTATAACTTCATAGCATCTTACGATATGTATTATGGTGACAGTGAGAGTTTTATAAATTACTAGCTACGAGTATACCCTGACACACTTTTCTATGGCACATTGTAGTTGCATTGATGTTAAATGATAAAAACAATCTTTATATATAGATTATCGATTATGAGAGAATAAGAATGATTCTTACATGGACTTTGAATTCGATCCCTCCGAAATTACAAACTAAAACTGTATACAACACAACCTTAATAATGGTTCATAAGGCTTCCTTGAAGAATCTGTATTGCTGACCCTAACGTCACACCAGGGGCCTCGCCTAAATATCACCGACATTAATTAGAAGCATTACGATCGTGGGGCTAAAGTTACTTGCAACGTGTAATTTCAATATTGTTTAATTTTTTGGTAGTTGTTTTATTCCCTACCAGGTTCCAGGTTCCACCCGTGTGCATGTCAGTTATCGCGTCAAAAATTAGCATATGTTACTCGCTGAAAGCGTGGCTTCCCATTGGAGAAATAATTTTTAAAATCGGTTTCGTGGTTTAGGCGTGAAAGCGTGACAAACACGCAAACTCACTTCTACATTTATAATATAAGTATGGTAGGAGTGCTACTTGGTACCTACTACAGGATACTAAATCTGCTGCCATTCACTTAAACATAACTTGTGATTTTATTAATTGTAAAATACAAAAAAATTGTTTACTTGTGATAAGCATTTATATACCCTTTATTTATTTAATTTTAGTTAATTAATAAAAATATTTCTTTATAATCCGTTACATTCGTGAATTAAAAATTGCCTTTATAAGCAAAATCAATTAAAAACCGAGCCTAGATCATAACCCTGGACTTTTACTAGCTGCAAGAGAAGCAAGAAAGATTATTTGCGGTTATTATAGGGCAATACCTGTATCTTAACCTGTAGGTATATAAAGCACCAAGATATATAAGATATATTTCGCAAATAAATGTTGCACTTACGGAATCATGTCAGTGCCTACCAGTTTGTCATTAGTTGTAATGAGAATCGCGTTTAGATTAACTGCTCATTATTGTTGTAGCGTGATTTTAAATTGCTTAATGGAATGAAGTTCCTTATAGCACGTTACACGCTTTGAGCGGATGGGAGCGAGATAATATTTATTTATTTCAGTTAGGGAAACCAACAGCTACAAAAATGAAATGGTCAGATTTATATGCTACATTTGATTGATTGATATGCTAATATAGCAAACGTCTACCAAAAAGCTAAAGGAACTTTGTTCCGTCTGGGGGTCCATAGGTCCTCACGCCATTTTTAACCTTTTTGTACATCAAATACAAATAGGATTAGAAGTTTCAGTGAAAAATGTATTTGAACAGAAAAGTAAACTAATAGGTTATTGAAATTCAGTCTTTCTTCAGTATTAGAAAGGGAGAGTAACAAACAGTAATTCTACATTATCCTACACATTGTACGACAAGGAATTTTAGTAGTAGACAAGTACTTACGGTAAAATCCTAAAATGACCGTGAGTTTCTATAGAAAGCCTACATTTATAAAAGTAGCTGTTTATCGTTGCAGATGAAAAGACACGGTCGGGTGAGAGACAAGGGGTTGAAAGTGCTCATAAAATGTATGGGCACCGCAATTCACTAGTTTTAGAGAACGGTACAAGAGCGCTATGAACTGAAGTAATATTCAGATTTATACATTGCTTTGTTACAGTTTTCTGTACTTCACTCTGATTTAGGTTCAAAACTTTCTTAAAATTTCAAGTGTATTTCAAAGTATTCTGTATAGTTTATATAAAATATATATAAGTAAGGCATTCGAGAAACTATCAACTGATCATGCAAAAATCACTAATGTTTCGTTAGTTAAAATCACAACATAAAATAACTTGCCCTTACTGATTGGCTGATTCATCCACGCAGAGCCTAAACCGGGCTACAAATTTAAATTTTTAGCAGCTGATCAGTGGTGGATTATCCCCAATGCAAAGTAGGCACGTGCCTAAGGGCGCGAGGCTTTTTAACAAGAAAAAAATGCCTAACATAAAAATAACTGTGTCAGTAAGTATGTACATACGAGGGTGGTCTCAAAACTTTCCGGCCTAACAAAGATACAAGACGTTTTTTCAGTTTTTATTTTTATTTTTCAACATAGTCTCCTTGTAACTCTACACACTTCTCCCAGCGATGCTCCCATCTCTGTAACCCGTCTAAAGAAATAATCATAAGTGTGAAGCCGAGGGCAATAGGTAGCAATTAGTTTATAAATGCGTAACCAAATACAGCAATAAATAATGTTAAGCAGAAGATTATGAATAATATTTCCTTTATTACGTATCTGGATGCAAAAAGGACAAATCCATACTAATATTATAAATGTGAATGTGTGTCTATCTGTCTGTTACCTCGTCACACTTAAACCGCTGAACTGATTTAGATGAAACTTGGTATAGAGATAGTTCAAGCCCGGGAAAAGGACAAAGGATAGTTTTTATCCCAGAAATCTTAGTTTAGTTGGGTGAAAAGGGGGGTGGAAGTTTGTATAGGGAATCAATAACCGCTGAAGCAATTTAGATGAAATTTGGTGTGGAGATAGTTTGATTTTTAAGGAAGGACACATATGCTACTTTTTAAAGTGATAAGCGACATAGCCGACATAGACGCGGGCGAGCCGAGAGCAAAATCTAATAATGGTAATATCACATGAGTAGATATCTACTCATGTGATAATATAAAGGAATAACTTAATCGCATGTTATGTTTTATTTGTAAAAAAAAAAAAAAACAAATGCTAAAGCCAGTTTTCTTCCACGTATCTACAAAAGCCGCGTGTTGAATATAAGATTTGTCGAAATATACTTGCATAAGGCAAACGCGTTTGCAATCCACCGAACTTATTTGGATAATTCATTAACTTCGTATGAAGAGGCTTGACGAGAAATTATTATAGCTACCTTTTAATAATAATATGGACGACATGTAATTGCTCCCGTCTATAATCCATACCTTGGAATCGGCTGGGCATTAATTGGACCAACTATCGTCGCTCTCAAAATTAATTATACTAGAGATAGCCAGGCGGCAGCGGTCTTTAACTCTTTTAGATGTCTTATTTGCATTGACTAGAATAGCTTAAATTGTTATTGTATAGGGTTTTGGACGATGATAGGTCAAAATACATACTGGACTCCTATGGACTACAGAGGTTGTAGTATAATTTTATGTTTACGCCACACATAGTTTAAATAATTTACTTCTTCTACATATTTCTTCACGAAAACACATGATATTTGGAAGCATTAATGTTTATACATTAATGTTTCAGAATAATGATAAGTGTCCGTGATCCACATTTATTTAAAAGAGCTACAAAGAATTTTCTTTATCTGATATTGAAATGTCTTTATCTGATGATTATGAAACGAAAACGGTTCTATGTTATCTCCCATCAAAAATGAAATGTAGCTCAATTTTACTAATTAATTCTGTAAACAAAAAAGTTCCACGATTGAAGTTCTCTGAACAGCAGAAAAATTCAAAATACCTAAAAAAAGTTACTACAAGATCAGTACTGAAAGAGAATTTATTTAACTTTATGTCGTCGAAGCTAGGTATAACATGCAAATTCTGTTGCAAAAGAATCTT